CGACCCTGACTGGGACTGAGGCGACTTTGACCAGAGACTGGGGTGACCCTAGCCAGAGACTGAGGCGGTCCTGACCAGAGACTGAGGCGGCCCTGACCAGAGACTGGGGTGCCCCTGGCAGGGGACTGAGGCGACCCTGACCAGAGACTGGGGCGACCCTGACCAGAGACTGAGGCGGCCCTGACCAGAGACTGGGGCGGCCCTGGCAGGAGACTGAGGCGACCCTGACCAGAGACTGGGGCGACCCTGACCAGAGACTGAGGCGGGCCCTGACCAGGGACTGGGGCGGCCCTGGCAGGGGACTGAGGCGACCCTGACCAGAGACTGAGGCGGGCCCTGACCAGGGACTGGGGCGGCCCTGGAAGGGGACTGAGGCGACCCTGACCAGAGACTAGGGCGACCCTGACCAGAGACTGAGGCCGCCCTGGCAGGGGACTGAGGCGACCCTGACCAGAGCTGGGGCGACCCTGACCAGGGACCAAGGCGACCCTGGCCACAGACAGAGGCGACCCTGGGGATTGGGGCGGCCCCAACCAGGGACTGAGGCGAATCTGATCAGGGACTGCGACGGCCCTGACCGGGGACTGAGGCGGGCCTGACTGGGGACTAAGGCGACCCCACCGTTGCCTTGACGCCTCCACTGGTAAGACGTCCACGTCCGGCTGGTATCTTGTGTGGAAGTACTTTTGTCACAGCCTCACAGACAGTCTATATGTCTATGCGTCACACGGGTAACATAAGGCGCATTTACATAACCTACCAGCAACATAACTTCAACGACGTGGATGTTGTTACATTCGTGCACGTCATGTGTAATTTAAGCTTGCGGAAGTTTCTGACGCGCGGGTGACTTACGGGCCTTGCGTAAAGATTTGCAGGTGCGTACAGTTACTTTGCAGCCCGGGTGTGTTCATAGGAGCCTCTGTCTAAACCACCTATGATGATAAGTATGTCATTCCATGTCGCTTACTTGTGTGGTAACGATCCAGCATGTACTGATCTGTCGGGACGTTGCATAATGCTATCATTTGTCATGTGTAATGCATTGAGTTTACAACTTCTTCCAACGTTTACTGTGAACATGGATGTCATCCAACTTTAAAAATGTCAATACAAGTTGTCTTTTGAAGGGCGTCGATTGACGTAAATGTTTTTGGGAAGGTAGAGGGGTGAACAAAGGCTCGGCAAATAAAGACCCGAGGCGAATGTATTGCTGTCGAGGTCGACGTGCTACGTTGCCTTCACAATGGGCCGCTTGATCGACTTCACTGCAGATTCGGCGTGTCCATTGCTCTGTGAGTGATGGGGGCTAGATAAGACAAGGGCCCCCCCCCCCCCACCCCCCCATCTGGACGGAAAATCTCCCGTCCTTTGGCTCTGAACAGAAGACCAGCGTCAGTTCGGAGCACAGTTGGCACACCGTTCCCAGCAAACACGTCACGCTGCACTTCGACCAGCTGACGTGGTGTCGCCTCTCCTCGACACTCAGTGACGTTGGACCAGTTGGATAAACGATTCACATACACAGGGTAGGTTTTGCCGGCATGTTGAAAGTAGTCAGCTGAGACAGACAAGAAAACTGCTTGGTAGATGGTCCGTCAAACATTTATTGTTCTTGTTCCCGGACAGTAGTGGCCTGCAGTCACAACACGAGCTAACGATGTTGGCCATGTCGTTGTCTATGTTTGACCAGTACGTAACTTGCCTCGCTCCTCTTTTCGTTCGACCAAGTCCAACCTCCGTCTTGGCGAACTCCACCTGGGCAGGGCTCGATGTGATGCCGTTTTCATCACACTACTCCAATACTGTCCATACTTGGCCTACATGAGTAGTGCAGTCGTCATCATGCGCAAGGATGTTATCCACGACTTTGCATGTCCGTGGTGCACCGTCCAGGGCCTGTATCAAACACACGCGTTAACGCTGCCTTCACCTGCGCCAGATGATCTGCCCGCTGTTATGTTGAAGGGGCGCCCATGTCAGAAGACCAGATCGGTTGACACGGCATGCGATTATGACTGGTCGTGGATGCCGCTGATGGTGCGCAGGCGCTGACGTGCGGGTTCTCCAGCGCAGTCTGCTGCACGCTTCTGACGTTAGATGGCGTCACCTGCTGCGAGTCCTGAAGCATAGGCAGCGTCACTTGCTCTCCAATCTTAGCCATGGGCAGCGTCACCTGCGCTCCGCCACTGGTGGGTGGCTGTGTCGGATGCGGCTGACGTTGCGGGGATGGAGACGATCGTCGGTGCGCTGAAAGCGGGGTACGCGGGGGTATAGCCAGAGCGTTCTCCGTCGGCTAGTGACTAGAGCTGACATTGAAATCGGCGTCTGGTTCTTAAACTTGCACGTATGCAATCTGCTTCGGAAAGAACGCGGAAGGCGACGGCTGCCGGAATGGCGGACCATGTACAAGGTCAACAGTTCGCTCTTTATGACCGGGATTTTTTGCGTTGGAAGCGGAAGCGGAAGATCACGTAACGCACCAAGAAGGTCTGAGATTTAGAACTCGTTTTTTCAAGCTGGCATAGCCCACATCTCCAGATTCTGTCTCCGAATCATAAATTTACGCGAACTGCCGAGTTTCCTGTTGCCTAATTGTGTCGTTGTTATCAATCAGACGTCGTTTGTCTTTGAATAAAAGCATGAGAGGATAACTGGGGTGGGTCAAAAATCGATCACAAATTCCATAGGTTTTCCGCGTGGTAAAAGGCTAATTGCGATGCGATAGGATGGTTCCAGCGTTTCCTGCACAATTTTTGTGCGACTTGTGTTTGAATTTTGCGTAAATGCCAGTTTGTCAAAACAATGTTTAACGGATGAGGACAGTCAGCGACCCGACATAGGTAAGCAGCAAAGCCATTGGAAGGTTGAAAGTGTCTCTCCCTGATGTTCATGCCAAACTTGGGCATCTGACCACATATAGTGCAAGAGATATACAGCAGGCCACATCGCTGGGTGTTTTATTGCAACGTGATAAAGCTTGCTTTGGATCTTATTCAACGTGACGATTCCTATATTACCAACAGTTTTTTTTTTGGAAAACACACTTTAAACTCTTGCAAAGCGCCGACCGCGATCTTTCAAACCAGTCTCACTGGTCGCCAGCCATTGCTTTGTCTGTCATCTGTCTTCCAGTTATCAGTATGCCTGTTGAGGAGCTTGTGCCAGTTCTGATGTACTCTTGTATGCAAGAGCCTACTATCGAACTACACAAAACGTTTTCGGTAAACTCTCGGCCGCAGATGCCAGGCAATCTACATGTCAATAAGATGGTGTTTCTGGATCTCAGACCACAATCGATGACCGATAAACGAGAACAACTTTCATTGAATAAATCAGTCCCGTTTTACTTCCAAGTTTTGTGGTAGCTTACAGCTCATTGTGAGCTTCGCGCAGATTGCAGCTTCACATCGGCGTGTAATTGGCATGCGAAGGCAAGTGCGATGTAAAACAGTGGCCAATTGTCATTGCAATGTGAAATGAACACTATCTTCATAGCACGTGTTTTTAATCCTGGGACGCAACTGACACCTGCGTAAATCCAGGAAGGAATCAGAGTTTGAAAGCAGATTAGGTATGCCCTGCCGGCTGCCCACGCCCCCCATTTCACCGTTTTTAGCAGCTCAGCCTCTGAGAGGAAGCCAGCATCACGTAGGCTATGTAGCTTTGCGTTTTCATTACAAAATTATTTACAACCACATCATTTGCGCATGTCGCACCATCATGCATCCGGTTCGCCGCGCGTCAGGTGATTTTTCCTTATTATTGCACGCATTATTGTCCACGCATCAATTAACATCAACCGCAACAGATAGCAATCACACCAAGCCATGCAGCTGATAAGTTTCTCACGTAATTGTACCTTCACATTGGCGCGTAATCGGCAAACAAGCGTAAGTCCAGTGCAATGCAGGGCCAAGTGTGAGTGCAAGATGAAATGGCTCCTTCGACAGCAGCAAAATTAGGTTTCATACGAAACAAAAACGCTAGAATACCTGGAAAACAACTTACAGGGGACGAAATCCTGAAAGAAATCAGCCCCCCCCCCCCCCCCCACCTACAAGCGATTATGGAGAGTGACACCATAAAACAAAATGAATATGATTAAAAATAAAGGCCAAAATGCAAGGCACCTGAGAGGAGGCGAACAGTACTGGACCATCAGGTTGGCATTGGCGCCAGCCGCCACACAGCGCAATCACCCGAGGCCGTACATTTCTTCGAAGTCGATGTCCGCCAGGGTGACAGGCGGTAAAACTCGACTGCGACGATTGCGGGTCGATTGTGGAATGGTAATGATCCAGCCTTGCACGCGGCATATCAGCAAATGATCTCGCTCAGCATAAAACAAACAGGCCTACCAGCAAAGCAGCTCCGAGTCAACTAGCGGATTTTAGCATACAAAATACGTGTGCACAGTACTGGCGGCGCCCGCTGACGCCGCGCCCGACCGAGCGGCGCGGCAGGGAGGCGCTGGAGCCACACAGACCACCGGGCCAGGCGACGGCGAGAGGAGGTGGCAGCAGTCGTACGAGAAGTGGCGCCGCAGCTCGCGCTAGCATGGAGCGGTGGTCGTGTCGCGTGATCTTACTGTTTGTGCTGCTCAGCGCCGTAACGCCAATCGAGTTTTTGCACCGGTCGGGACGCTGCAATGGTGAGGACCAACAGTGCACACCAATCGTCGGTTGTCCGGGCTACAAGACCAGACTGGACATCCTGAACAATCCACCGACGCCCTGTGGTTTTTTTCGGGCCGTACGCCGCTCATCTGCTGCGAGTCTACTGAAACCACTTTACCGGAGCGTGTAAACCAGACACAGCTGTTGCCGGAGGAATGTGGCGACCCTAACAGAACAATCACTGCCTTTATTCGTTTCCGCCGTGACACGGCAGTCATTGCAACACGTGATGTAGTTATGGGCGAAACGGATTTCCCATGCCCTGGGTTTCAGGTATCAGGTGTCGGCGGCTTGAACGCTATACTCGGCAAGTGGCCGTGGATGGTGCTGTTCGGCCAGCGGACGGACACCGACGGGCAGAAGTGGTTCTGCGGCGGCGTCCTCATCACCGACCGACACGTGCTCACGGCCGCACTCTGCATGCGGCCCGAGCAGGCCGCCACCGTGGTCGCCCGCATCGGCGATCATGACCTCACCACCTTCAGGGACGTCCATCACCAGGAGCGCAACACCTACAGTATCGTGCGACCACCCGCAGTACCACGCCTCGCAGAACGACCTGGCGGTGGTGCGGCTGCAGTCGCCGGTGCAGCTGACGGACGCCGTGCGGCCCATCTGTCTGCCGCCGGCCGGCTCGCAACACCACGGCCAGGACGTCGAGATGGCCGGCTGGGGCCTGGTCGAGTTCGGCGGCGAGACGGCCGACGTGCTGCAGGAGGTGCCGCTGCGTGTGGTCGACGAGGACCGCCTGTGAGAACGCCTACCGCCAGGCGGCGGCATTCAACATGACATTTCCCGGCGGCTTTCAGGGCGCCAAGATCTGTGCGGGCAGCCGCGACGACAAGCCACGGGACGCGTGTCGGGGAGACTCGGGGGGTCCACTGATGGTCGAGCTGCCCGATGGTTCCTACCGGCTCACTGGCATCGTCTCCACCGGCGTCGGCTGTGACAATCCTGAATTTCCCGGCAGCTACACCAAGGTGTCATCCTACATTGACTGGATCCTCGGCAATCTACTGAGTAGTGTGTCACTGGCTGTGGCATGGTGTGCAAAGAGCACATCAGTTTGGTGCATTAACGTGCCCAACCGCATGCCTAGTATCTACTCAGTATCTACCTAGCATCTGCTCTAAAGATAATCACCAACCACGTGGATGGGTGTACATTTGAAGAAAATTACAGCTACCTTACACCAGCTTGTCTCAGTATTCCAACTTGGGCGCTTTATACGAAAATCTTTTGGAATGCATTCCTGTTTCACAGCGCTCAGAGCTAAACAGCTGAGGACATAGATAAGAAATTCGACAACGCCAGCCTACGACGTTGACTTCTGTTCGTGCAATCCCGGTTCAAATGCTGCGCTGTGAGCATGCGGAGGATGCTCTCGACTCAGCCGGCATGAGAAATACAAGAAAAGTTATGTGTGGCGCCCCCCCCCCCCCCCCCGCCCTCCTGGTAACGCTCTGTTGGGCGTGCAGTCCCAAAAATGGTAACGTCTGTTTGGGCCCTAGTTCAGTGGAAGGTGTCAAATAAAAACGGCCACGTTTGATGTCATGCCAGGAGAGAAAGACTTGACTTTGCATAGTTTTGACTAGGACTGAAAGCAAATATACTGAGGCCAGGTAGGTTTTAAATTGAACATACCAGACGGCTGTGAAAATTCATGCACCCTTTCAGTTGTTTGGCACACACTTCAGGGTTTTGCTCACCCTTTTAGATGCCAGCTTGCATTGGATCACATCTGCCGGTCATGATTTCGAAAACCCATTGCGTAAGTTGTTCAGTGCAATAGCGAGGAGCATTGTTGACATAGATAAGACAGCAGTATAAGCCTTATCTTCGAAAGACAGGAAAATAGAGATATAGTTAGGCTGCTATTTTGGCAACATGCCTTGCTCCAAACCACAGCAGACGTCTTCTGCTACTGTTTCGAGAAAGGCATAGTACTGCAGTATGATCGAAATCAACCTAACTATATCCATATCCCAAGCTTTTGCCAAGAAATAAGGTTAATACCACTGTCTTATCTTTCGAAAATCCACCTTAACCGCGCCAGAGTATCAAAAGAAACATGCGTCAGTCTCAGAGGTATTGTATAATTGAGATGTTTTGAAATTTCGACAAAGATCTAAAGTTAGCTTGTTTATAAATACGTCGTGTCTGTACTCAAACACGTTTGAACTTCGGGCTTATCTGAAACACTATAGCACTCCAAACGGTTTTGAGCATTAACATTTTACATTAACATGGATACCAGCCATCGCGCTGACCGGCCGACGGCTCCTGCTTACAACGGAAGGCGACGAATTTAGAGACTGCGGACCATTTACAAGGTCTTCCGTTCGCTCTGTATGACCGGGATTTCCCGCGTTGGCAGCGAATGCGGACAACCACATGACAACGCTATGAGGGTTGCGATTCGTGACTCGTGTTTTAAGCCTGGGCGCAGTGCAGATCTAAATCCTTCAGCGAATCGCTCCTCCGGCGCGCTGCGGTCGCCGCCGCTCTCCCAGGCCCCCTTTCCTTATCGCCGGACGTCTGCCCCCGGTCTGGGGTGGCGCGGAGGTGGAGGCGGAGGGGCAGTCGTTGCCTTAGGTCGGTCATGTTTGTGTGTGGTCAGTCACAGTCGCAGTCACAATCAGTCTTTGGCTCACACCCGTTTAATGCTTCGTGTGAGTTTCACACGCATGGTAACCGAATTTAAAGGTGTTTCATTGTGGTGTGATGCGCTGCAGTAGGTACTGCGCTGCTTGGATGACGTGTGATGTTGGTAAACAGACGTACGTCTAAACCTCTACGTACAAGTCACTTGATAAGATAGTCTACAATGTTTGTCATTCGCGTGTTGAATCCGCTTTGGGTTCTTTTGAATGAGGAACCCAAATCAGGAGCTTTCGGCATTTAGCCTTTCGTATATCATACTATAATCGTAGTGCCGGTAATTACCTGCTCTGTGAGTATATGGTTATAAAAATCAGCGCAGTTCAGTCGAACGTTCTCGTCCATGCTTCCATCATCCTCCTATGCCAGACGGCGGGGTCCAGTCCGGGAGACTGTTACCAGTGCTCAGAAGACAAAATTGCAAAGCGATTAGAGAGACACAGCAGGTGTCGAACATGTTCTCGGGGTGCTGATCTCGCTGTCCGTCGGCCTTGGAGCAGTGGCTGGTGCGGCAGTTTCTTCACTGTTCGGCTTGCCCTATCACTTTTCACAGCACGGCAAAGCTGACTCATGCAATCTGCACGGTGTCGGGACATCACGGTCATCTCTGCATTGTAGTATGGGTGCAGCCAGACGCTTCGGTTAAATGAATAAGTAATGAACCCATATGTCTTTGAAATGCATAGATTCGTCTCATTAGACTGCCTTCTTTGTGCTAAAGCGTGCGCTGCGGATGCTGCTCAAAACCTGAGAGCTATTGTAAAAACTGTTTCTTCCTGTCTCAAGTGATGAAGAAAATTCCCAAGTCAAAACGGCTGTACCATCGCACAGTCTGCGTGATTCGCTTGGATTATACACCGCCGCGTGCAAACGGTCGTCAATGAATTACGTCGCACATAGACAGGAAGATGGATCTTCATGGGTTGTGACCTAAACGCACCGAAGAAAAAGAGGAGTTTGGATAACGTTACGTTACTCTCAAATGTTGTGGCATATCATGCTATTTGTGTAGTTCCGACTTCCTCTTTTATGTTCTCAGCTACTAAACTCCACGCGCTGTAGAAAAATACGTCGCCGTTGATTATCGTGTACCACACAAACATTGAAAGTTGAAGCAAGCTTGATATCGGCCAGGTTTGAGTCATTTCGAATTCTACACAACCACCAGTATGTCGGCAATCACCAGTATGTTGTTACACCATCAAGTAGACCCTGGGCATACGGTTCGACACATTGGTGCACCAAAAAGATAAAGGCTTAGCACACAATGCCACAGCCAGTAGTGGCACACTACTCAGTAAGACGAGGATCCAGTCAATGTAGGAGGACACCTGGTGTACATGCCGGGAAAATCGGGGTTGCCACAACCGACGTCGGTGGAGACGATGCCAGTGAGCTGGTAGGAGCCGTCGGGAAGCTGGGACCATCAGCGGACCCCCCGAGTCTCCCCGACACGCGTCCCGTGGCTTGTCCGTCGCGGCTGCCCGCGCAGATCTTGGTGCCCTGAAAGCCGCCGGGAAATGTCATGTTGAACGCGGGCGGCCTGGCGGTAGGCGTCTTCACAGGCGTCCTCGTCGACCACGCGCAGCGGCACCTCCTGCAGCACGTCGGCCGTCTCGCCGCCGAACTCGACCAGGCCCCAGCCGGCCATCTCGATATCCTGGCCGTGGTGCTGGGAGCCGGCTGGCGGGCAGGCAGATGGCCGCACGGCGTCCGTCAGCTGCACCGGCGACTGCAGCCGCACCACCGCCAGGTCGTTCTGCGAGGCGTGGTACTGCGGGTGCCGCACGATGCTGGTGATGTTACGCTCCTGATGAATGACGTCGTCGAAGGTGGTGAGATCATGATCGCCGATGCGGGCGACCACGGTGGCGACCTGCTCTGACCGCATGCAGTGGGTGGCCGTGAGCACGTGTCGGTCGGTGATGAGGACGCCGCCGCAGAACCACTCCTGCTTGCCGGCGTCCGTCCGCCGGCCGAACAGCACCATCCACGGCCACTTATCGAGTATGGCGTCAAAACCACCGATAGCTTGTTGGATGGTCCCAGGGCCTAAGAAATCCGTGTTTTCTGGAAGTGGGTCAGGTTTTTCAATGACTGTCGTGTCACGGCGGAAACGGATAAAGACGGTGATTGTTCTGTTAGGGTTTCCGCATTCCCCCAGCAGCAGCTGTTTCAGGGTTTACACGCTTCAACGTTGTGGCTTCAATAGACTCGCAACAGATGAGCGGCGTCCCGGCCCGAAAAGCCACAGGGCGTCGGTGGCTTGTTCAGGATGTCCGCTCTTGTCTTGTAGGCGGTGCAGTCGAGGATGGTGTGCACTGTTGGTCCTCACCACTGCAGCGTACAAGACCGGTCCAAAAACTCGATTGGTGTTACGGCGCTGATCATTGCAAAACAGTAAGGTCACGTGACACGACCAGTTCTCCATGTTAGCGATAGCCGCGGCGCCACCTCTCGCACGACTGCTGTCACCTCCATCCTCGCCGTCGCCTGGCCCGGCGCAGTGGGGGCCGTCTGTGTGGCTCCACAGCGCCTCCCTGCTGGTCCGCTCGGTCTGGCGCGGCGCCAGCGAGCGCCGCCAGCGCTGCGTACACGTCTTTTGTATGCGGATAGTGTGCTGGTTCACTCTGAGCTGCACCGCCGGTGAGGCTGTCCGTTTTAAATCCTGAGTGAGGTCACTGGCTGATCTGCCGCGTGAATAATGGCTGGATAATTACCAGGATTCGCCTCTGCCGCCATTCATTTCAGTCGTGGATTTTACCGCCTGGAACTGGCGGGCGGTTGCGTCGTCGAACGGGGACGTCCAGCAAATGCACGGCCTAGGTGTTACGCTGTGTGGCAGTTGATGTCCTCATGGAAGCCATGCACAATAATGCATGCATAGACAAGAGCGTGATCTTGCAAGTCATATGGTTGGAACTCATGCCATTGTTTAAACACAACTTATACCGGACGGGGCGTGATGCTGTTGGTTTCCTCTCATATGAGTCATCTTCGAAGCTGTCTTTCTATTTTTTATTTCCTTCTAATCTTTGGTGTCACTGTCAAAAAGCGATTGGTGGGATGGGGTGTTGGGGTCTAACGCGACAGGGCTACCTTCGCTAACCCCCAAACCTGATATCTCCCTGATCTATCCTCCATATGTTACGTCTTTGGGTTCCAAAGATATTTTCTTTCGTTTCGGATACTAGCTTTGCCTTAGACGAAGCATTCATTGCATTTTGCACTATCGTTTGTCCATTGCACTGCATTGTACTACCATTGCCATGCCAATTGCACGCTGACGTGCAGGTGCAGTTATGTGAGAAACGTAGAATATATTGCTGTTCACTGAACAATCTGTTAGTGAAGCAGCCTGATTGATCGATGAAATTATTGTTTTGTTATTTACCCTCAATTATTTATATAACTATCATTGTATAATTATTTATTTATCCATCATTGATGGTGGTCCGAGACAGAAAACCACAAACAGTGATAATGATAATTTCATGGCCCGGTACCTGCGGCCGAGAGTTTACGGACATCGTTTTGTGTAGACTGATAGACGGTTCTTGCATGTAATAGTACATCACGACTGACACAAGTTCCTTAGCAGGCATGCTGATAACTGGAAGGAGTTTTAAGACAAAGGCTTGTGACCAGTGTGGCCGCCTTAAGAGAGCGCGACCAGCGCTTTGTCTTGAGTTGGAAACGTCCTTCCGAGAAAAATAAATTATTGGTTATATAAGAAAACCACTTCTTCGAATAGCAGTGCACAGCAACGCTCACCAGCACGTTTGCTATCAAAACCCCCTGCGGTGGTTGGGCTCATGGCATATCTCTTGTGGCTACCTATATACTCAGTAACCCGAAAGTGTGCATGAAAATCAGCGACGGGACACGTTTCCGCCCTTTCAATGGTTTTTGTTGCTTATTTAAAACCTGACGTTGACAAAACCGATCCGTCGGACATTTATTCCTACAAATCGACCTTCACGCACAATACATGTACGATTCGCACCAATTTGTGCCCGCAAACAATCGACCTTCACGCACAATACATATTACGATTCGTCACCAATTTGTGCCCGCAACAATGGAATGCATCGTATTGCCATCACAATCGCTATTGTGTCGCACTCGCGAAGAAACCGGCGTTGATGCTCTGCGTCGCCGCCTGCCGCCTATCATGCCTCCCTCACAAGAGTCAATTTATAATGACGCAGCTCATTGGGCCAGTCACACGAGCCAGATGATATTACACGCACGACTCGGCTCGTTATGACTCCTGTGCACCCGACATCAACACACACTTGCGAGCCACAGGGCTAGGATAAAGGTGGTGACCGACGTACTACTGGCGGATGTAGGTCCGATCGGGCACCATGGACGGCCGTCTCCAGGTAAACGGTGGTTCGCCCTTAACTACGGTACTCCACCTCCGCCGTTTAACTGCTGACAACATACAGATGAGCAAAACAGGAAACCGGATGCATTATTATTGAGCACGGTACTGTGGGTGCCGCACGATGCTGGCGATGTGGCGTCCCTGGTGGCCGACGTCCCCGAAGGCTGTGAGGTCATCATCGCAGATGCGGGTGACCGCAGTGGCGGCCTGCTCGGCCGCAGGCAGTGGGCGGCCGTGAGCACGTGTCGGTCGGTGATGAGGACGCCGCCGCAGAACCACTCCTGCCTGCCGGTGTCCGTCCGCCGGCCGAACAGCACCATACACGGCCACTTACCGGGAACAGCGTTGAAGCAGC